GGGTCGTGGCATTAGGAAGGTTCAGAACCACTGCCCTAAGTGATTGGGTCCAAATACACCCTGTTGCCTTCTAAGTACCAGCCACACTATACCTAGAACTTGTCAATTATGTTCCCACCTCAGGGCCTTTGTGCCACTCGCTGTTTCTTCTGCCTAGAATGTTCTTCACACACATCTCTCTGCATGGCTCCCTCCCTCATCCTCCTTCTCAGCGATGTCTTCCATGGCCACACCATTTCAAATTGCAGCCACTCCCACCAGCCCTCCTTATCTCCTTTCCCTGCTTAATTTTTTTCATTTTGCTTATCGATACCTGACATATAGCATATTTTGTTTACTTACTGTCTCCACTGACCAAAATATAAGCTCCGTGTGGGCATGCGTTTTTATTTATTCACTAATGTATCACCAGAAAGATAGAAGCTGGAAAAAAAAATTAGATGAATGATAAATACTGCTGGGAAAATAAGGCAGGGAAGGGCAGAGGGTCACCAGTGCGGAGAAGGGTTGCAATTTGACAGAGTAGTCAGGAAGGTTTCATGGAAGAGACATTTAAGTAAAGACTTGAGGGCAGCGAGGCAGCAAGTCACACAGTCAAGATCAACTACATAATTTGTAGGGCCCAGTGCCAAGGCAATATGTGGGGCCCTTGTTCACAAATTGTTAAATAGTGCAAGACAGCAATAGCAGAGCATTAAACCAAGAGCAGGGCTCTTCTAAACATGGGGCCCTGTGTGACGCACAGGTCACACACCCATGAAGGGGGCCCTACATGCAGCTATCAGGAAAAGGGCGTTCCAGACAGATGGAACAACAACAAGTGCAAAGACCCCAAGAAGAGACAGTGCTTTGGGAACAAGCAAAGAGGCCATGCATGTAGAATATGAAGATTCCTAGGCTCCTTTTCTGGATATTCTGATCTCGTAGGTTCAAGGTCAGCTAGAATCCTTTCTCTTCAGTCTGTCCCAAGGCATTCTCCTATGCAGGCAAGTCTGAGGAACACATCTATTCCCACATCTGGGGATGTACCCTGCTGCTAGCTGTTGAGTTCCACCTCAGGTAACCAGTTTCCAACTGGTTCCCCTAGTAACCCAGGACTGGCAGCCAGATCTCCATCTTCACCCCTTGTCAGAATCTCTGTTCTGGGAACCTCCTTCTACCTAAAATACTACTGACCCTTAAAGAGTCTCCCTGGACTTCCAGCCGAGTGGCTGGGGAACTGTCATGGGCTTCTCTGAGAGTTCCTGCTCCTCTAAGTAAAACTGCAGAGCTGTGCTCTGCTCTTACTAGACACGGGATGTTCAAGTTAAATGTATGCCTGGACTGACTCAATTCCCAAGTGCCCTGCTATGTGTCTCTAAATCTCTTAATATCGCATCACCTACTCCTTTAAACAATAATGTAAATATGTTGATGATCTTGGCAGTCAATATTAGAAATTTAACTCACTCAACTTCTTTCTGTTCAGTCAAGGAAAGGAAAAATTATCTGCCTTTTTAGCTTCCCCCTAAAAATCTCAATTTACAATGAGTAAATCCAGTTAATATCTGCAGATATTAATTAAAGCAAGAATATCACTTCACTGTAACAGTATTATTGCTTTCACTGGTTCTACATAACCAGTAGAAGAGTCTCTAAAAATTTTATCAACTATAGTTCAGGGCCAAGAGTAAATGATATATGTATAATAAACCAGTGGTTCTCAAGAGTGATTTTCTTCCCAGGGAACATTTGGCAATGTCTGGATGGAGTGGGGGTGCTACTGGCATCTAGTAGGCAGAGGTCAGAGATGCTGTTAAACATTCTACAATGTACAGGACAGCTCCCCCCACCAACAAAGAATTATCTGGTCCCTAATAGTAATAGTGCTGGGGTTGAGAAAGCCTGTCTGTAATAGACTATTTGTGGCTATAAATTATAATTCCCAATTCATCATACTTGAGCTTAACATCTTAAAATCAAGTCTTTATAAAAATCTGATTTACATTTTAATGGTAAAGGGTAATAAGGTTATGAGTAACAGGATCTATATTAGCAAAAACAGGTTAGAAAGCATTTGATCTAAGGTGGAGAACTGCAGGGAGCAAACGTTTAGGAGATCTAAGCAAGTCAAGTGAAATCATGGAGGGGGCAGTGGGTTGCAGAGAGACTCCTATGGGCAGGGAACAGGGAAATACCACTTCTCTGGATATCATGGACTCCTAGGTGTAGTCAACCTGGCCTAGTAAGTAAGATGCATAGAAAATAGACAGAAAAGGTCTTCCTTCTTCAGTGCCAAGATGCTAAGAGAGCTCTTGATAAGACTAGGATAAAAATAAGGGTGGAAATCAGAAGTAATATTTAGAGAAGAGCAAATACATTATCACTGTGCTGATTCAAGCTTGTCTCCACGAATAAACATACTTGGAAAATGTCCTTACCTCTCATTATCTTCTCATCTGTAAAAAGGAGATTAATTACATCTATCTCAAGGCTTATTAAGAACATCAAACTGAATAAGAACAAGATGGAACTGGACAAATGCAACGCCTGGCACACAGCAGGCATTCAGCAAAAGGGAGCTACTAATACTTGCCAACTCTGTTTTCCTCTGGCTTTGACCCAAAACAGGCCCCATTAATGCGCATAAGAATTGTAGTTATAAGTTGACATTTAGAAGCTCCCAAGAGAATAGAATTCGACTATCCCAGGCATGATAATATCAGCACACCCATACACAGCAAGATCCCTTCTCTCAAAATGTTTAAATGATAGAAGGCCCTGCTAGGTAAACATATACTAGCTGGAATGTGCAAAATAGATTACTCAGTCTCTGTCATTCGGTGAAGGGCCAGAAAGAGTTTCACTTTAAGAGAAAGATTTAGATAAGATCACCTTTCTTCCCGTTGCTGTCTAAGGTGCTTCAGGAAAGAACACTGAAAACTGATACGGAACTCAAATGCAAAAAGGCCATCACATAGCTCAGAGTTAATTATAAGTAATTTTAATGAAACAATATGTTCCCTCAGGTTTCCATGTTCTTCCCAGTGGTGTAATGCAATATGCCCAAGACACACACACTTATAAATTTATAATAAACACAGCTCTCCAGCTCACCTAGACCACAGTTCTTGGCTGCTGCTTAGCGACAGGTGTCACATTCACAATTGCCAATGAGCCTAGGGGTGTCATTTCACTTCTAAATAAAGAAGCATAATCGATAGAACCAGAGCATCCTGCAGGAACGACCACTCCTGACTCATCGCAGTGCTTGTTTACACAGAAAATAAAACACTCTGCCCAAGTCCACACGTCAGTTTGGCTTTGAGTATAAATATATACGTAATGGTACCGATCGAGGCTGAAAACCAGGTGAACGTGGCTGCCCGTGATGCCAACGCCCTGGTCCTCTTTGGCCTTCCTCACGCGACAGATCTGGCCCGCGCCTGGGCAGCGCACCCGGAACTCGATGCG